TAAAATCTGGTGAAGTTTGTTTCACTCAAACGTAGCAAAACACGCAAATGACAAATTTTGGGGAAATGTGGAAGAGGGAAGAGAGAAGAGGAAAGCACGAAGAGGGAAGTGGGAAGAGAGAAGAGGGAAAAGGGAAGAGAGAAGAGAGAAGGGGGAAGAGGGAAGAGGAAAGAAGGGAAAAGGGAAGGGGGGAAGAGGGAAGAGGACAGGAGGAAGAGAAAAGAGGAAAGAGGGAAGAGAGAAGAAGGAAGGGAGAAGAGGGAGAAGGAAAGAGGCAAGAGGGAGGAGGGAAGAGAGAAGGGGGAAGAGGGAGAAGGGAGGAGGGAGGAGGGAAGAGGGAGGAGGGAGGAGGGAGGATGGAAGAGGGAGGAAGAAAGAGGGAAGAGGGAAGAGAGAGGCAAGAGGCAAGAGGGAGAAGGGAGAGGGAAAGAGGAAGGGGAAGAGGGAAGAGGGAAGAGGAAAGAGGGAAGAGGGAAGAGGGGAGAGGGAAGACAAAAACAAAGAAATAAAAATTGGAGAAGAGAAGAAAGGAATAACAATGGAAAAAAGAAACAGAAAAAAGGAGCAAGACGTATTTCCAAAATGTACACTCGGAAGAACCTCCATATTTCACCGAGAAACCTATCTTGTGCACTTTTCGTATTTGTACGCCCTATTAATATTATTAGTTCACTCAAATTTCAATTCTACAACTATAGCCCCTCGCAGTTACGTTTTATACACAAAGAGGAGGGAGAACCGAAAAACAAAAAATGAGGAACGTCAGTATTTCATACCTTGGCTGGTTTGAACAACCAGAAAGACCATTAAGAAATTAAGGAANAGAGGGAGGGAAGAGGCAAGAGGCAAGAGGCAAGAGGCAAGAGGCAAGAGGGAGAAGGGAGAGGGAAAGAGGAAGGGGAAGAGGGAAGAGGCAAGAGGGAAGAGGGGAGAGGGAAGACAAAAACAAAGAAATAAAAATTGGAGAAGGGAAGAAAGGAATAACAATGGAAAAAAGAAACAGAAAAAAGGGAGCAAGACATATTTCCAAAATGTACACTTGGAAGAAGAACCTCCATATTTCACCGAGAAACCTATCTTGTGCACTTTTCGTATTTGTACGCCTTATTATTATTAGTTCACTCAAATTTCAATTCTACAACTATAGCCCTTCGCAGTTACGTTTTATACACAAAGAGGAGGGAGAACCGAAAAACAAAAAATGAGGAACGTCAGTATTTCATACCTTGGCTGGTTTGAACAACCAGAAAGACCATTAAGAAATTAAGGAAAAACTGCTTTAGCGGGAGATGATGATCGGAAGACATCTTGCTAAAACTGAGCGAACAATTTACTTGCTTGATGTCTTAAACCCCACGTCACTGTT